CTAACAAAGTTCCGAAATTAAAGCAATATATATAGAATAGCTCCGAACTACCAATCGGAGCGTTGGCCGCTCCCCGGGCAGAACACCTTGCCCGGCGGGAGATCTCCCCTTTTCCTTCCACCCGCTTACAACCTTAATTCACCCTTTGAGGTCTTAAATTTTTCAAAATCCTGTCATAGTTAATGCCTACGTAATAAAAGGAAGGTTGTCGCAAATTAATGCTCGCACCCTCGTTTTAAAACAGGGTAAATTTTGAAAAAAAAAAATAGTGATTTCTTATATTTGTGCGAACACTACACATCATCATGGGTCACGGGGGGTGGGGGACCCGTGACCATGGATGCTGTAAAGCATCCAAAACGTCGGGAATTAAAAAAATAAAATTAAACGTGATAAAATCCGCAAAAAATCGTTTCATTTAAAATTTAAAAAAATATTTTTATTATAAAAAATATTTCAAAAGTCATCAATTTGAAAACATCAATTTTAAAATTGAAAAAATACCCTAATTATTTTTTCTCATTACAAATTTGAACAGCATATGGGCTCCTCGTAAGTGGTTGTTTTGAAAAATCTCAAAATACGTTTTTATTTATTTTATATACAGAGACTTCAATAAGTCTCAAGCCAATACGTATCTTATAAAATTACGTATTTGTACGTGGTAGAGCTATGCTACAACTCGAACCGAGGATTGACCACGTTCTCACAGAACATCAGTGTAAAATGCTGCCGTGTATCGTATGTTGAATGTAGAGAATCGGACACCCTCTTCACTCGAAATGAGGTTTTCCATCTTAGTCCTTAGGGGTGACAACGCATCCGCATATTAATTCTTAATCGAAGACTGATGTAGATATCTATCCGCCACAGCATCCACTTACCATCAGTTGGACTTAGTACTCGTTTGTCACACTTATTTTAAAAAAATAGTTATTTTTTAAAGTAATATATTTTAAATTAGTGTTTTTATCACAGCGTGATAAATTAGAACGTCTTGTTCTGTATTGGTAAAAACTGGTGGCACAGTTAATTCAACCTTGCTTTACATAGAGATGCTCATGCCCATGGGCATGAGCCTAAGGTCTTTTGAAATATTGAAACGTGTATCTTTATTATCATCATCATCATCACAATATCAACAAAACATTGCCTAATAACAAAAATATGCCCCATATTTATCAAAGTTGCCACCAAGTGGGTCGACAACTGCTGGCTTTTTTGTTGTTATTGTGTTGTTATTAGGAAGACGTTACTGCTTATCTCCTTTTTCAGTATCTCTTTGTCGCCTCTTATAACAATCACGGGGATGATAAAGAGTTTATTAAATGTGTATATTTTTAATAAAACACATTTGTCACTTGCATATTGCTATCGCTACACTAACCATTTGTCATCAAATAAAAGTACATTAAGAGATTTTGTGTTCCCTTTTATACTTTTTTAAGGCCTCAAACTTTGGGTGCCGGCTAAGGCTATTGTATTGTCTAAGAAGGCCTTAATTATGACTCCATTTTTAACTCCTTCGTACACAACTTCCTTAATTTCTTAAATGATTATGGAGCAATCAGTCCGCCCAGTTGATCCAGTGTTTCATCGGTGCCGGCGGGGATTGAACCCCGGTTGTACGCGTACTGTGCAGTGTACAGCGAGTGCTTAGCCCTTGAGTTACCACCGCCTCATGCGCAACGTACTTAAGTGTGATTTCGGGAAGAGGTTCAGGCTCCTTCGATTGTGTAATTAGCCGAATTCAAATAAAAAAGCGGCCAAGTGCGAGCCGGACTCGACCATGAAGGGTTCCGTAGCAGCAAGAAACATAATATACGATTTATGACGTATTAAAAAAAAAGATCTCGTCCAAACTAATTTTCGGTGGAAGTTTACATGGTAATGTACATCATATATTTTTTTTAGTTTTGTCATTCTCTTATTTTAGAAGTTACAGGGTAGGGGCGGGGGGGGGGGGGTTCTCTCGCGCAAACTATTCAGTTTAGAAAAAAATGATATAAGAAACCTCAATATCATTTTGAAGACTTATCCATAGATGATACCCCACACGTATGGGTTTGATGAAAAAATTTTTTGCCATTTGGCTACGGAACCCTAAAAAGGAGGAAGCACACATTTCGACTGTATCATCGCTAATCGAGACCCAATTTCGAATAATTTTTATTTCGCATTTGGAATTTGGAACTGTTTGAATATAATATGTAATAAATAACATTAATTATATTTGAAGATATTTATAGCTACGTATTCCACAAAACACAGTGCGTATACACATATTTTGTTTTTGTAAATATTTGGTTAAGTGTGTATGATTTTTTGTGAAATATAGGTAGCGTAGGGAGGGATGTGAAGAGGTGTAGAAAATATCAATAGATAGATGAAAAGTTTTTGTTATAGCAGTTAAATGTACGGCTAATGACTGAACAATGAGCATAATATGTAGAGCGAATTAACGGAACACGAAGTAAAGGACGTGTGCCTGGTACGCTTCGAAGGAGTATTTAATTGAGGGAATACAAATCGAAATGAAATGTCAAATGTTAAAAGATGTTTTTTTAACAATGCTTGTTAACCAGTGTTAATGCACAGAACACTAATACCCTTAGGCGGGAAGAATGTCAACTTCAAACAAAGAAAATGGCACACATAATGCACGCCATCTCTGTCGTGCCCCCTAAAACTTTTTGCGCGGGAATTTTGACACGTGATTTTTTTCTAGTTGTCGTCTTGGTTGTTTCGTTTCAAAAATGGCTTAAGAATGTAAAATACCATATAGATAGATATAGCTTGTAGTTTTTCGTTTCAATGATATATATTGCTAAATTAAAACGAAAACAAAAGCACAAAGTTATTTGTAAATTATGGTACTTTACATTCATAAACCACTTTTGAAACGAGTAGCAATCATTTTAATATAAAAAAGGAACTATTTTTCAAATAAAAGTGGTTTTTGAAATACATAATTTTTATTTACATTACATACTTGTCTACATTGGTACATAGAAAAACCGTTGGTACATTGATGGACGTAAGTGACGGAGTAATTAACTAATTTTTAACATGGCATATGTAACATGACATTTAAGCAAAATGGAAAGTAAAGGTACATTGGTTTTATATAAAAAAGATTAGACAATCTAATATAAACACTTTTTTCTAACAAGAAAACATTATTTACCTTCACATTCTACAAACAAGGCAATAGCTTTGCAATATTATGTCTAAACTCCAATAACCTGATTATATTATAGATGCCACCAATAATATTACATTTGTAGAAATTATTTTCGTTATGTTATTGTTATTGACTGCATTAAAAACTAATAAGTCAACATTTTCATGTCATTAATTAGCACTACCTGCTGCAAATCCATCCACGAAAAACAAAAAGGATAAAGATATGTTGATAAAAATGAAATATCATCTGAGAAAAATTAACAGGCTTCAAAAAACTGTAAAGCATCTAAAGAATGAAGCATTTCTCAAAGTATTGAGCAAAAATAATTCCGTAAATGAAATATTAAAATGTAAAATATCCCCCTCTTTTGCAAACTGCTCTTCAAAGAAAAACTGATATCCTGCAGAATAAATAAGATGTTACATGGATATATACGTAATTAACTAATTTTTAACTTTATGCATGTAAACAGTTCTGAACAGCTCTTAACTAAATATCGATTTAATAGTTAAGTAGTTATTATTATTTTTCGATCATACAGGTAGATGTCTAAGTGTCACAGCATTTACTTGCTAATTCTATAAAAAATACAAATGTATGTGTTATCCATATCCCACAGTAAACTTAAAAGTTAGTTGCATAGCAATACGATTGTTTGTAGGGTGACTAATAAACTATCCGACATTAAACGATAAAAAGACTGTAAGGTATGATTCGCACCAGTAAAGTGATAGTTTCGAAAATACTATATTCGAAATCCAAAAGTGGCTCTATATGGCAAATATTTTAAAAAAAAACTTATATTTAAATCCTACCTGCCTCGCGGAAGCAAGGAATATCTGACCCACTCCGACTAAAACTCTCAGATGTTTCATCTTCACCACTTATCGGCAGGACTACGGGTACACTTTTACACACATCCGTAGCCTCATCAGCGCTAGTCACTCCTTGGCAGCCTCTCTCGAGAGAGGACAAATCCTCCCTCTCCTTTTATCTCCTTATATAATGTCACCACTGAAGTGATTATGACTGTACATACAGAAAAAGTAGTTCCATGTAATATCTTATTTATTCTGCAGGATATCAATTGTTCTTTTAAGAGCAGATGCTGAGTACTCTTCTGCAAATTGCCGATTTTTCAAAATACAAAATCTCTTCATACAAATGTGAAATACGCTATTAAATAAGTAATCTATATTCATATCTTTATGTTCTGGACATTCATCGAGAAACTCCCAATTTATTGAGTTTTTGAACAAAACTTTAATTGTCCCTTTTCATTTTTTTTTATATGCTTCTGCCTCTAAAAATCATAAATCATCGTAGCACTACTTTCAATACAGTTAATGAGGTTTTTAGAGGCGTATTTAAGGGACTTTTTTAGATCACTATATTCTTTAAAGTCAATAAAAGTATGTGATCTCTCTTGTGTCTCAGATACAAAAATTTTTTTACAAATTTCACATTTGTTGAGATTATTTTTTACTATAAACCCACAGACATAGGCACATGCTTGTATTTCGCCACTGCTTTCTTCCAAGCTACATTCAAATGTAGAATTTACACTTTCTTCTAACTCATCGGTTAAAATTGTGGCATAAGCAGTGTGTGTGTCTGCGGGTGGAGACAATAAAGATTTAAAATTTGTCAATATAACTTGATTTTGGTCTTCTTCACAATTTCCTGTCCCAATAAAAGATAAGTTGCTAAGGACAGCCGTTTTAAGACCCGCAACAAACTGCCCAGCAGTGGGATTTGAATTGCAGCCGCAATTGGCCCGAATGCATCCAAAAAGATTTTCTAACGGGTCCTGCTAGAGCCTTCTTGTTTCCAAACTTTTTATTGATTTATGTTTAGAACTGAGATTTCTCCAAATTCGTTCTATTCCATTGATGGACCATATCCAACCTTCTTGGGATGGAGGAGCTTGTTTGCATCCCAAAAACGTCATTTCTTTAAAAAAAATCTTCATTAAAGTGAAATGTGTGAGATGTGGTGTATTATTTGTCATGTTTGTCGAATATGGTTTCCCCCTTCTTAGGTCTGGTGTGCATGCGTTGACACAATCAAACAGCTTGTCCATATTTGCAATAACATTAGCTGTAGTGACAGCCTCTGAAGAGAGTTCCTCTGTAAACAACACATAATTTAAGATCTTACTATTAGGATTAAAGAAACATGATTTAAAGTATGTTACAAGACAACTCAAAAATAATATCACATATCAGTATCACACAATAAACAATAATTTGTACTTGGGAGAGCCTAGTTCCTTTTTAAGTTAATAATTATTTTAATGGGTGGACATATGTTTAAATATTATACTTTAAATTATAAATTTAATTTACCTTGTGAAATTTTAGCATACATTCCTGCAGCAACTGAGTGGCTTAACACTTGTGCAGCTAGCTTCACCTTCATCTTCTGCTTCGTATTTGGATTTAAATGTTCTTGTTTTAAGCAAGGTGCAAACACAAAATTGGGATTGGTGTTATCTGTTTCATAAAACTCCTTTATATGGCTCCATTTAGCAACACCTGTAAAAAAAATTTGTGTGAATATCCAGTAAATTGGAAATATGTATAATATTATGATTGTAATAAAACAAAATATCTTACCAAATCCAATTTGATCATTTGATGTTATATTTGTTGGACATTTAATGCCATATTTTAAAAACATATTTCTAAAGCATTTGAGCAAATGCGGAGTATCAAAAATGTTAACCACTTCTCGATTATTTAGCAGAATATATGGCTGTTCTACAGATGCTCCCAAGATACTTAAAGCTCTCTTATTCACACCATCCATATCACACACTGTAGCTGAAATATTAATTCCAGCATCAAAACAATGTTGCAGGACCTAGAATGATAAAAGGGTAAATTAATATGGTAAAAAAGTACTACTACATATATTGACATAATACCAAATAAAAGACCATAATGCTCACCTCCTTAGAATAATAATAAGCAATTGGTTGTTTCAGCTTTTTACGGATTCCGCCAATCATGAACACGAGGGCATGTGTTGCCATTTGTGGTGAACTGCCCTGCAATGCATGGTCTTGATAACCCTCAATTATGTCCTCCTTTTTGTTGTAAAACAAATTCTTTTTTATTGACATCTCATCAAACATAAGGATATACTCATTGTCTGAGGGAGTCTGTTGCTTTATTGTTTTTTTTTTCAAAACATTAAAAATTTGGTCATTAAAACCAACTTTCATGTGAAACTTGCTTAATAACCCTTTTAATGAACTAGGTGTTGGCAGGCAAATCATCCTTCTTAATAATTTGTAACACCTAGGTGACCTTTTATACAGTCTTAGTGCTATTATTTTGGAGTCCATGTTCCATCTTCGACCTTATGATTTTTTTTTATAGTTTTGCAATTCTCCTTGCAAAAATAATGCAAAAGAGGGGGATATTTTACATTTTAATATTTCATTTACGGAATCATTTTTGCTCAATACTTTGAGAAATGTTTCATTCTTTAGATGCTTTACAGTTTTTTGAAGCCTGTTAATTTTTCTCAGATGATATTTCATTTTTATCAACATATCTTTATCCTATTTGTTTTTCGTGGATGGATTTGCAGCAGCAACAGGGTTGATATTCTCAGTTACTTGAGGAATATCACTAGTTATGTCAGGAATGGTTTTATAATTTACATTCTCACACAAGGGTTGTATAAATTTTGACGGACCCGCAACAGGCTCAAATACATTTGAAACAGTTATAGTCTTCTGAATATTTTCAGACAGTGGTTGTTTATTAGTTGATGGACCTGCAATATGTTGAATGACATTCCTTTGTTCCAAATTAAGGTCAGCTAATGTGATCTGAAAATTAGAGATTATCAAATCATTATTTATATCATGTATCCCAGCATTGGTCAACCAATCTCTAAATTTCAAACAGCCTTATAAATTTATAAACATTAAATACAACTTGTTTTTTTAATGAATGTTGCTTTAATACCATTACCACCACCATCCTATTTTTAAGACACTATTTTAACAATTTCTTTTATTTGTAAATATATTCTGTAAGTAACTAAATTATAATCATGTCATTTAAAGAACATTGACAGCTCGCGGAGCAGTGGCTAGCATTGAGTTGCGGCACTAAAGGTCACAGGTTCGAATGCTGCACGGAATAAGTACTTGTAAGGGGGTCAATTTAAAATTGGTTGCAGATAAAGTCGTCCCTGAGCAAAAATATTTTCTTCTCGGTGATATTAATTAAATTGTTATAATGTTATTGAATTTGTCAAATATGGGGCGAATTACTAAGCTTATTCTCAAGAAAAATGAATTTTATTATTGATTTATCACCACTTTTATCAAGTAACAGAGTGGTCATTCTTGGTAACATAGTTGTTTTCCATACAAAAAAATTCTGTCCCATATGCAGTGCATCATGCGAAAATCATAATATCTTTTTATCAATTCAATGTAATTGTTATGTTTGAAAGCTAGTGTAATAAAGCAATCATAACACATTTAAAAACATACTTCATCCATATTAAATAAATTAATTGAAGCTTGTATGATTATTTTAAATTTTGTCCCAAGGTCTTCAAAATATTAGAGCTACATTCTGTTACTATGGTAAACCGGATAAATACCAAGAGTTGGCGCTATCCATTCTTTGGCAATTGTTTCATCATAAATATCTACTGTTCTATCCGTACGGTTTGCGGCGGTTGAGGCGCGGGTACACGATTCATTTATCCGATGGCTGCGGTGTGAGGCTCGTGGTTTTATTCTGTGTGTACTCTGTTACCGGTGTTTTCGCGTAAGTATTCAGATATATGCATATAGTTTTATATTATTGAAGTAGCTCTAGTGTAAGATATATCGAATGTGCTTTTCTTTGTACATAATAAACTTTCATTTCTAAAAAAAATGTCACTAAAGTTAAATTTACCATTCTGTTACTGCACAACTATGTTACTAGCTACTGGTAACAGAGTTGTAGAGAGGTAACAGAGTTGTTATTATTAAGCTGTTACAAGCCATCGTTGGCGTCTGTATATCCGTATCTCTGCTTCTATGTTAGTAGGAATCAATATTATATAATAGCTATCTAATAAATTACATCATTTGTTCTAGATAATACATAGTACTTCGCTATGGCTCTCACCGCTGCTGAAGAGCAGCGGCGCTATAAAGAAAAGTGCAAATAAAACCCTGAAGAGGTAGCGGAAACTAAGAAGAAGGATTTAGAGAGATATCATAAAAAGAAACGCTTAATAAAAGACATGACTCAACTCAGTATAGAAACTACAGATCTTGTATAGATGGATTGACAGAAGAAAAAATAGCGTTACACGTAGATTTCAGCGAAAATTACAATTGCAAGTTCCATGAAGTGATACAATCACACCACTTTCGTGATACTCGTAACCAGGTATCCTTACATACTGGCCTATTGTATAAGTGAAGCTTGGAAAATCGAAACATAGAGGTGAAGTCTTTTTGTACAGTATCAGGTAACCTCTCTCACGGCCCTTCGGCAAGCTGGAGTCAACTTCATCCTATACTTTCCTCAATTCAAGACCAATCCCCTAAGATAAAAGTGATACACATATTTTCAGATGACCCGCTACTCAGTACCGCCAGAATCAAAACTTCTGCTTAATATGGACAAAACTTTTCTCAAAGTACAACCTCACCAAGCCTAGATGGAATTTTTTCGAGTCGGGACACGGCAAAGGAGCAGCTGTTGGTGTTGGTGGCTTTCTAAAACGGACTGCTGACCAGCTTGTTGCTGTTAAGAAAGACATTCTGATAGCGTCTTCGTTCTATCAGTCTCTGAAAGATAGTAGTAGAGTTAAGGTCAATCTTGAACTGATTATGATATTGAAAGAATCGCGAATGAAATTCCAGCAGAAATTGTTCCTTTCTATGGTATAATGAAAGTACATCAAGTGTACTACTAGTGTATTACAGAAGAAGTGGGAGCGCTGAAATATAGAGAGTTGAGCTGTTTCTGCTAGCTTGGTTTCTCCTCATGAATGAATCCAAAAAACTATTGTCCACTAAAGGATACAGTCGAAGAATCAAAGGAGTAATTCTACTAATCTAGCGGATATAAGTAATTTGATTGAACAGAAAAGGAAATCTTTTTACAATGTAATTTACAGTTCGAGTTCGGAATCAGATGATGATAATCCTTTGCTACGATTAAAAGATAAGGCATCAGATCAACCCTGCTTGTCTAAAGAAAAAAATGATGAGAATCACTTGATTCATAAAGAAAATATTCATCCAAGTAAAATCAAAGAAGGAGTCTAGGTCTTAGTTAAAGTTTACAATTCTGAAAGTAAGTGTTTATCTAGGCAAAGCATTAAGCGAAGTAGACGATGATGGTGAAGTAAAAATTGTCTTTTTAAATTCTGTTGACGATACTAGAAAAACATACAAATTAGTTTAAAATGATATATCATATGAACAATATGAGAGTTTCATAAGAGTTGTTTCAGTACCTAAAAAGTAAATAAAGGCAAAAGGGTATATTACCAGTTCCATACTCCACTAGAGATATTTGAAAAATAAGTTATCAGCTTAGGTTTAATTTGATCTCAATAAGATTTTTTAGCTTTTTCCCCTTAAGTTTTATAATCTAGTTAAGTTTCTAAACTTCTTAAAACAATTCATAGCCAAAAATATTGCTTTTTGTGATAGTAGTTCATAAATTTGTTGCAAATAGTACAACTATGTTATTCTTCCTACAACTTTGTTACTTTTGTGTCCCTAAATATATAAGAGTAATGTCTCGAATTTTATGAAAAGCTGACACCTGACTCTATGCATTGTTTATTAATTATTTAATATTCTCATTTATACACAACATCATCATTATATTTTAATAATTTAATTCAATTTACATAGTTTATAGTGAAAATTTGATCATTAAAACAAAGGAAGTAACAGAGTATATTTAACTTCCATTACTGTTCCTACTTAAGAAGAACTATTGTGTAATTTTGCATGTTGAACATGAGAGTAAAGACTTAATTAATGTTCATAACAAAGAATGTTTCTAAAAATAATTGTTTGTTGTTTAAATATGAATAAATATATGATGGTAACAGAGTTGTAATTTTTTTTACCCTGCACTAGTAAATTCCTTGAAAATCTAAAAATAGTGGCAAGACATCGCGCCCAACCACGATATTGCATTTAACAATGACATCTAAATAGCATAAATACCTATACAACTAAGTTAAACAGAATTTTATTTTCTTTTGTTTTCGAAATTTACAGTCACATTTTCTGCCACCAATTTTAAATTGACCCAAGGCCTATAAATAATTGTGCCGGGGGTTGTTTGTCCTCATCCAATTTATGTTTGTTAACTGCCTCCACAAAGAGGAGAAAATCCTAGTATGGATAAGGTTTTTTTTTTAAA